TTTTTTTTTTGAGACAGAGCCTCACTTTCTTGCCTTCTGTAAAGTGCTGTGATATTGTAGCTCACAGCAACCTCAAACTCTTAAGCTTAAGCAAATTCTCTTGCCTTAGCCTCCCAAATAGCTGGGATCACAAGTGTCTACCACAACACCCAACTATTTTTAAAGATGGGGTCTCATTCTGGCTTAGGCTGGTCTCAAACTTGTGAGCTCAGGCAATCCACCTGCCTCGGTCTCCCAGAGTCTAGGATTATAAGTGTGAGCCACTGTGCCTAGCCCTAAGTGTAATTTTCTTTTCAAGACAAGGAATATTCTAAAAAATTAATGACCATGAGCAACAGAAGAGCCTCAATGTATGTATCAATTTCTATTAATGCATGCCCTGGGAATAGGAATTTGTAGGATACAGCAGAGGGTTAAAAGTGCTAGGCACTAGGAACAGAGTGATCTGGAAGAAAGCTAAGCATCACTGCTCACCCTGAGTACTAAAAACCACGCTCAAGAGACATAGCAAACTGTCCTAACCATAAGTCATATTTAGCAGTGATAAGAAAAAGGCAACACAGAAGCATAGTAAATAGTATGTGTTAAGAGTTAAGTCATTCAGTTAAAGAAAAGTTACTTTTAAACCTTGACTCTCTCACTGAAGCTTTCCACTGTGCTGTATTTTCTGTATGCCTGAGATTTTAATAAAAGCCTGTGAAGACCATAGGGAGGGCGCACCCTTGTCCTTCCCTGCAGAGGGCTTACTGGTGTTGGCTTCCCCGGGTCCCTCAGTTCAATGCAGATGGACTGAATTGGTGTTAAATTTATTTATGTCAAGTTGCACCGACAGGAATTAATAGAAATTAGGGGTCCATGCTGTACCTTAAAACAGTGCTGAAACTGTGCTTGGAAATATACCTGATAACTGCAGTTATAGTTGAGACCAGCTTTCAGGGACTTGCTTCTAGAGGCCGCTGTAGCGTGTGTGTGCACCAGGCAGGCCTGGAGCTTGTCAAAACACTCACGGAGCAAGCTGCTGTTCTTGCCAGACCAAGTCAGGGCTTCCAGAAGATCATCCTTCTTGTCGCTCATAGCTAAATAAAGTTTCTTCAACTCAAGAGCCAGTGTCTGCAAAGCAGAGAGGAAGAAAAACACAGTGAACAGGTTCTGACCATGAAGGCCTTGGCCTGGTGCAGCTCGTTGACCACTCTAAGGCTTGACACGTGGGATCGGCAGAAGTGCCTACCTCGTAGTGCACCTGCTGCCCAGAAACGTCCTCTCGGAAAAGCCCTGGAGTCTGTAGCATCTCCCCCACGCTGCCCAGGCACTGACTGAGAGTCAGGAACAGTTCAAATAATTTTTTATCCAAATTTATATATGTTTCTTCGGTCACGTTTTCCTATATAAACATGAAATGAAAAAAATAAAAATCATTAGGATTTCTTGCTTCCTAATCCATTACAGTTATAATTTATGGTTTTCTTTAATTATTTATTTGTTTGCTTATTTATTTATTTATTTATGCAGTTTTTGGCCGGGGCTGGGTTTGAACCTGCCACCTCCAGCATATGGGGCTGGTGCCCTACTCCTCTGAGCCATAGGCACCGCCCCTTATTTATTTATTTTTGAGAGTAAGTCTCACTCTGTCACCCTGGGGTAAGTGTCCTAGCATCATCATAAATCAAACCAACCTTGATCTCTCAGGCTCAAGCGATCCTTCTGCCTCAGCCAAGTAGCTGAGACTATAGGTACCCACCACAATGCCTGGCTAGTTTTTCTATTTTTAGTAGAGATGGGATCTTGCTTTTGTTCAGGCTGGTCTTGAACTTCTGAGCTCAGGCGATATACCTGCCTCAGTCTCCCAGATTATAGGTGTGAGTCACCATACCTGGACAGGCTTTGTTTTTAAGACACATAATAGGTTGTTTCAAACATTTTGTGAACTAGGTAGCAGAATAGATAAAATTTTTAAGTCTGAGAAAAATGAGTTTTGAAAACTCAATGTTAGGTGATTTATTCTGACTACTGAGTGGAATTAAAAGGTAGATGTGGATGAGGGACTTCCTCAGCAGGGCCATCCTAGTCAAAGTGTAGTTCTGGAGATGCTGTACTGTCCCTCCTCCGCGGCTTCTTGCCCTGCACAGTTTAATGTAAGAGAAAGTGGGGAATCAAACACTGCTAGGAGAAGGAAAAGGAAACACAAAAGAGAGGCTAAAAGGTATTGATTAGAAGGAGGAGGTACAGGCTGGCGTGATGGCTCATGCCTATAATTCCAATACTCTGGGAGGCTGAGACAGGAGGATCACTTGAGTCTAGAAGCTCAAAACCAGCCTGTACAACCTACTGAAACTCAAAAAAACCAAAACAAACAAAAAAATGCAAACAAATTTGCCAGGCACGGTAGCAGGTGCCTGTAGTCCTAAGTACTGCGGAGGCTAAGGCTGGAGGATCATGTGTGCCCCAGAGTTGGAGGCTGCTGTGAGCTATAATGCAGCAACTGCACCCCAGCCTGGATGACAGAGCAAGATCCCATCCCTTAAAAAAAAAAAAAAAAAGAGGTAAAGAGTCTTAAAGACAGAGACAGGCAAGGGGAGGTGGAGTGTCACTTGTGAGCTGATTATGAGAGTTGGGGCCTCCTTGGATGTACAACTCCAGAGGGACTCCCAGTGCTGTGCAGTTTTGCCCTGGTGAGTCATGGAGCCACAGGTCTGTCGTGACATAAGCTGTCGGAACTCTTTTTCTTTACCTACAGTCACCTTGAATTCCTGACTAGTTACAAGTCATTTAGGAGAACACTCCAGCTAGTAATCAGCCCTACCTGGGCCGTTTTCTGTTGTCCTCTCTGATGGATCCTCAAGTTACCCACCACACCATCCTGGCGTGAAGCATCCGCTGGTTGGAAACTGTGACCATACTCCCTCCCACCCTCCTTCCTCACACTCCTCAACCTGACACCAATGCAGGTGGTGCCCATTAATCACCACCCTCTTTCCTGCTGACCCTAGGTTCAGACTCCAAATCCTTTACACATATGGTTCTAAGCAGCCAATACAGAATTTGTCAGAGTTGGCAAAAAAGATGAATTCCATTGCAAGTCTAGGACTCATTCCATTATGTGTTCTATTACATGTTCAGTGAAGAAAATTGAGACTAATTCACAATGATGAAATCCAATCTTCCTTTTTCTATGTTGTTGTAATGAAGAAAACACATGGCACGCAGCTTCTACCTGTGTCCGAAGGTTATTTGCTTCTTGGCGCAGGTCTTCGAGTTGGCAGGTGCAGGTTTTCAGCTCTTCAGTTGTTGGGTATCTAAGATTGTACATGCTCATACTGGGTAGAATGCTCTTATTTGTGGCAACCTATTAGACAAAGGGAAACCCTATTAGTGAGAGCTGGAGCCCCTGCTGATGTTAGTGTAAACAGCAAACATGCCTTAGCATGCATGACCCAAGCTACCTTCTTGGTGAGAGGTTTTGTCTATCTTGCCATTTATAAGAACAAATAAATTAACTTTTAAATATTTTAGACAGCTTTGAAAAGTCATGACTTAGACACTTAAGGGTCCATTTACATATCAAAATGAGGGGAAGAACATAATTTGAGCAATAAAATCACTTGTCTTCCAATTTAGCAGCAATGATATTCATGATAGAAGGTTAGTTGCTTACTTTATTTACTAGTTGACTCCTGGTACAGCTAACTCTTACAATAGAATACAAGTCACTTCTAGATAAGGATCTGCATCTTGATTTGTTAGTGAAAAGCTAAGTAAGTATTAAAGATGAATTGTGATTTCAGAAGGGAGACTAAATCAGTTTGTTTCTCAAGCTAGTAAACTAACAAATAGCTATGGTGGGTGGTAGAGGACTCAGCTTGGGGAAAGCACCACTGAATGAAGCTCTACTCTGAAAGAAGTCACAGTTTCTATAAGAAGGAGAAACCATGGATAAAGCCCAACCAATGAGTTTGATCCAACTTTAATTGGTCAAGTAAGGTTCTCAGCAGGAAAGATGAGAACTAAGAATGAGATTGGGCAACCTCTGCCTCAGCGGAAAGCCTGCACAATTGATGGCAGAAGCCTGTCTTGTAAGCAACAGTGCTGTTCTGCCCACCTGCTCCCTGTTTGGAGGGAAAGCCAGTGACAGGGGCACAACAGGTCAGCCTGATTAAAACCTACAATGGCAGTGATAAGTGTGCTGGAGGAAACACTGATTGGCAGGTGGCATTGGCACAGGGGCTGGCACACAGTAGATTCTGGAGAATCTTTTAGAGTGCATGGCACTCATATAGCACTGTTTAAGTTTAAAAAGCAATTTTTAAAAACATATTATTCACTCAACAAATTGTAACTGAGTCTGTGACGGTTCCCAGGCACTGTGCTAGGCACTCAAATGTGAACCAGATAGATGTGCGCCTTCTTCTCAGACCATGAGATGGGAAATACAGACAGACAAGCAGATACTGCAGTAAGAACTATGATCTGTGAAGCCCAGGGTGGTGGAGCGCAGAAAGGAAGACCCCGAAGAAAGATCTGGATCAGCCAGGTGAAAAACCCACGTGGCGTCTTTACTTTCTGAAAATAAACTGCTACATAATGCAGAACTTACGTGTTAATTTAATGAATGCTCATCAAGTCTTCAAAGATAAACAGGCTATTTACACCGCGTGAGGACGCACACTGACCTGAGGCTCTACCAGCTCAGGCGGAGGCAGCCTGATCTTCCGCGATAGCTCATGGTGCAGATACTGCCATTTGTCTCCAGTTTGGCCCTGGGGTGACACTGTGTCTGGAACATCATTTTCTGGGCTAGATGCCTGGTTGCTTTTAAGGAAGAACAAAAGATGAAAAGAATATCAATATAACTTTTTTTTTTTTTGTAGAGACAGAGTCTCATTTTCTCACCTTGTGCTATGGTGTCACAGCTCATAGCAACTTCCAACTGCGGGGCATAGGTGACTCTCTTGCCTCAGCCTCCCGAGTAGCTGGGACTACAGGTGCCTGTCACGACGCCCGGCTATTTTTTTCTTGCAGTTTGGCGGGGGCTGGGTTTTGAACCCGTTACCCTCGGGATATGGGGCTGGCACTCTATCCACTGAGCCATAGGTGCCGTACATATATAAAATTTTTTATGCTGCATTTATACAATGTCTTATGAGTAATTTTTAAAGAAATAGTCTTTTTTTTGTTGTTATTTTTGAGACAGAGCCTCAAGCTGTCCCCCTGGGTAGAGTGTCGTGGCATCATAGCTCACAGTAACCTCCAACTCCTGGGCTCAAGCGAGTCTCCTGCCTCAGCCTCCCAAGTAGCTGGGACCACAGGCGCTCGCCACAGTGCCTGGCTATTTTTTGGTTGCAGCTGTCATTGTTGTTTGGCAGGCCGGGCTGGATTTGAACCTGCCACCTTGGGTATACGTGGCTGGCGCCTTAGCCACTCGAGCCACAGGCACCGAGCCTAAAGAAACAGTCTTAATTTTACCAACCATAAAAAACCAATGAATGTACAACTATTGTGAAATGTTTTACCTTCTAGATGATTCCTGAGCTGTATCGTTATCATGTTGGCAATGCGGGGGCCATCTTTTCTTAGCATTGAATTCTATGAATTTGATTAAATCTTTCTGTTCCACTGGTTTTAACTCCAGGACCTACAAAAGTACAAGATTCAGATGGTCTAATCAATCAATTTTTTCAATTTGTACCCAAGAGTTTCTTCTGTGGAGAGCATCTAATTTTGAACCACTTCCTCAATCATTATTTTTTTATTTTTCTTTCTTGCTTCCTTGTTCTTTTACTTCTCAAAAACTTGTTTAAAATACTCATACGATAACTGTTACTTAATCTACATTATGTACACAGAAAATTACCAAAAAGTTATGAACACATTTTGAAACAACAGGCAAAGCAGACTTGCAATGTTAGAAGTTTGCCTTGAAGATACTTGCTTAGTTTAATGTAAGATGCTAGGGTATAAAGGAGCAAAGCTAGAGTAGCCCCAATGGTAGAGGGTGAAGCAAAGCAAGTGAAGTAGTAAATGCTTAGAACTGAGCTACTAAACACACACGAACCCCACATATCACACTTTGCATCCAATCACATAAGCTGACGTTGCAACGGCAGTTCAGTGTTTAGTCCAAAGGAAAATTCCAAATTCCCTATAGAAAGCTGTACTCTTGTCTTGCAACTACTGGGGGCTGAAATTACCTGTTGCTGTTGGAAATCTTTTTGTCTGCTGAATCTCAGCCTTTCAGCTGCAGTAGATTCCAACTCAGAAAGGTCAACTGGCTGGAGCACTTTTGGATTCTCTGAAGGTTTCTTTAGAAGGGTAGGGTGCTGCAAAAAAGTTCACCCAGGCAGACTATTTATTTAAAAAAAAAAAAACCACTTTATCTCAATTCTAATAATGGAAACTGTACTAGATAAGTTTTATATAAAGTATCGATGGTATTTTGTAACTTATTATAATTATATACTATGATTTAATGTACTTATTTCATAACAACTTTAATAACTGCTACATTTGTAAGTGATTATTTTATTTCCTCAATCTAATTCAGCCAATGAATTACTAAAAGCAAGGAAATTTATTGCCTTTTTACCTTAAGAACAACATTTTTAAAATATCAAGAAGGGAAACAGTATAATGCTTATAATTTCACATTTCCTCTATGTCTAAAATATATCTGTTTTTAAAAAGGAAAAACATATTAGGATGAAAAGGGAACCACATGGCTTATATATCTGCAACCAGTCTTATTTCTCTGAATGTAAATCCCCAAGCAGGAACCACTCATAATTATGGATGCAAATTTTACATAGTAAAATCCTTCTCACAGGCGCACATTTGCATTTATAAACACAGAATAGTTTTAAAAATCACGAGGACAGTTTATCTATATGATTTTTTGATTAGTATATATAAATATTTGTAAATGAATACTAAAAGTGCCCTGCAAACAGGGTTTTTTTTTTTTTTTTTTGAGACAAGAGCCTCACCATGTCACCCTTGATAGAGTGCTGTAGCGTCACAGCTCACAGCAACCTCCAACTCTCGAGCTTAAGCGATTCTCTTGCCTTAGCCTCCCAAGTAGCTGGGATTACAGGAGCCCACCACAACACCCGGCTATTTTCTTGTTGCAGTTGTCATTGTTATTTTAGCAGGCCTGGGCCAGGTTCGAACTCACTAGACTTGCTGTATGTGGCTGGCGTGGTAACCACTGTGCTACAGGCATCGCAAACAGGTTTTATGTTTCTGATGTCAAGTTTTAATCTCTCTCTTTTTCTTTTTTCTTTTTTTTTTCTGAAACAGAGTCTCATTCTGTTGTCCTTGGTAGAGTGATGTTGCATCGTAGATCACAGCAACCTCAAATTTCTGAGTTCAAGTGATCCTCCTGCCTCAGCCTCCTGAGTAGCTGGGACTACAGGTGCCCACTACAACGCCCAACTAGTTTTTCTATTTTTAGTAGAGACTGGGTCTTGCTCTTGCTCAGGCTGGGCTCGAACTTCTGAGCTTAGGTGATCCACCCACCTCGGCCTCCCAGAATGTTTGGATTATAGGCATGAGCCACTTCTCCCTCTCCTAAGTTTTAATCTTTTTATGAAAACTTTACTTTCCAGTCAATTGGAATCACAACATTCCTTTAAAATACACCTTTCTTTTAAGAAGAAGTCTTACACGAGACATCATTACCAGTAAGTATGCTCAACCCCATCAAACCAACCCAAAGAAACCACCACTATCACCAGCAAAAACCTAGATAAGAAAATTGTGTATTTTATTTTAAAATGAAATAAAAATAACAAGGCCAGTGGACTTATCTATAGTTTTAAGCTATGTAACCTTTTCACACTTAGTCTCTCTGCAGTTGGCCCATCACTGTCACCCCGAGTTCTCTTCTGGTGGCTCTGCCATATGTATGCAGACAAGAAGTTTGTCTATACAGAGCCTTTTTTTTTTTTTTTACCTGATCCTCACTGTATTTCTCCTGAAGCATCATCTGGACTTTTTCCAAGTTGCACTTCACAGTTTTGAGTTTCAAGGAAAGCTCTTCAGCTTCATGTTGAGTGGCTCCACTATCTCCCAGGCCCTGATCTTTGCAATTCTCTAACAAAGAGGCAACCTTGTGCTCAATCTCAGTTAGCATAGCCTAGGAAAGAAAATCACTTAATTATTCGTAGTGCTGGTCTTGAACAAGTATAGTTTCCCCAAAAAAGTCAGATTTGTTTTTGTAAGTGGGTAAGGCAAGCAGTCCCAGAAACATCGGAAGAAGGGATCTCAGAAAAACGGAAATTTCTACATAATTTGTGTGTATGTCGCAGAAATGCAACCAAACCAACCCCAATTGCAGATGCCACTTTCCAAAATAATTATGGAAAAAACAGAAGAATGTATCCAGTAGAGCACTGTGGTTAACTACACAGGTTCTGCAACTGGACCACCTGGCTGTGGATCCTGCCACTTAGTAGCTGTTTAGACACGGACACCTTTGTAGTCCGCCTCTAGTAATCTATAAAACGGGGATAATAAAAGAACTTACCTCTGGGATCACTGTCGGGAGTTACGGTATTGTATATATTGGTTTTCATCTACGGTTCCTGGCTCCTAACTCCCACTGTAATGCTGGAGCACTTTAGGTCTCAGGAGACAGAATCTTTCTGACTTTCCCCTGTCCTCCTTGCACCTCCTCAGGGAAGGACTCTAATCTGATTGTGGGTCAAAAGACCCTCATTCTGGGAAGGTCTTGCCCTATACCCTGGAGGAAGGACTGCTGCAGAGAGGCCAGAACAATCTGGACAGACGGGTTTCACTGGGTTTAAATTGTGTGCTTTTTTCCAACCACATTTCTGTGTGGTTGTCAACCATGCCTGTGTAAGGAGGCCTCCATAAAAACCCAAGAGGACTAGGTGTGGAGCACTTCCGGAGAGCTGAATGTGAGGAGGTTTCTGGAGCACAGTTCGCCCAGGGAGGCCATGGAAGCTCTGCACCCCTTTCCCACACCTCATCTTATATATCTCTTCATCTGTATTCTTTGTAATATCTGTTAGAATATACCGGTAAATGTGTTGCCCTGAGTTCTGTGAGCTGCTCCAGCCAATTAATCAAATCCAAAGATGGAGGGGGCCATGGAACCCCAACTTGAACCCAGTCAGAAGCTCTGAGTGCCCAGACTTATAACTAATGTCTAGGGTGGAGGACAGTCTTGGTGACTGAGTCCCAACCCTATGTCATCTGACGCTGTCTCTAGGAAAATAGTGTCAGACCTGAATTAGAGGACTCTCCGTTGGTGTCCACTGCTTGGGGAATGGGGGAAAACCCTACATGTGGTCACAAAAATCTTCTGCACTGTCGATTGTTTGTGGAGTTAGAGGAAAGCAGGGTTTGGAGAGCGTTTTTTCTTAACATCATGAGTTAAATCCATGTACTTTGGCCAGAGCTTGCTACACAGTCTGTGTTTAAAAGGTGCTGGTTTTTATTTCTTCCTCACCTTCCTAATCCTTTTTACATGGATGCCACAATGCAAGTGTTGCGTAGGAATAGAAAAAGAATTCCACACAACTGTTTGAAAATTCATTCCCTTGCTCTTTTCCTTGTCTTTCTCAAGTTAAATAAGCCTCCACAGTATTAGAGGAGAACCATGGAGGAAATCATTTGGAGCCTGAATTGCTTAGTTATTGATATAGCCGGCCAATGTACGTAGAGCCTAAGAATAAACCAGCTGGATGAAGTAAGCTTCCCAGTAAGTCATGGCCATTGTATTCCTCAAGTCTCTTTCCTGGGACACAGTCATGTCATCTGGCTGGGCACACAAGTCAGTGCCAGTATTCAGACACACATTCCAGCACTGTGATCTTTGCACTAAAACTCAGTGGGTGACTGAGAACAAGTTCCGTTCATTGAGGGAAAATTCTATCGTTAAGACAAATTTTTAAATGATACATCTTTTTTTTTTTTTTTTTTTGTAGACGGAGCCTCAAGCTATCCCCCTGGGTAGAGTGCCATGGCATCACAGCTTACAGCAACCTCCAACTCCTGGGCTCAAGCGAGTCTCCTGCCTCAGCCTCCCAAGTAGCTGGGACTATAGGCGCCCGCCACAATGCCCGGCCATTTTTTGGTTGCAGCCATCATTGTTGTTTGGCAGGCCTGGGCTGGGGATTCGAACCTGCCACCTTAGGTGTATGTGGCTGGCGCCTTAGCCGCTTGAGCCACAGGTGCCGAGCCAAATGATACATCTTTTAACTCCTTCATCTCAGCAGACTACAGCTGGTTTTACTTTCCATAGTTTCAGGTACCAGCAAACCATGGCCCAAAAACAAACAGAAATAAAAAATTCACATGTTTGAAACTGCATCCTATTTTGAGTAGCATGAGGAAATCTCGAGCTGTCCTATCCATCCCACCTGTGACATAAATCATTTGTTGTCCAGGGTACCTCCTGTCCATGTCATGGCCTGTTACTTAGTATGGATTGAGTGTCCCTAATACCCAAATCCAAAATCTGAAATACTCTAAAATCTGAAACTGTTTGAGCACCACCACCATGCCACGGTGGAAATTTCTAGACCCTACTTCATGTGATGAGTCATAGTTAAAACTTTATCTTGTGTTGAGAATTATTAAAAATATTATAAAATTAACTTCCATCTATGTGTGTAAGGTGTATATGAAACAAAAATGAATTTCATGTTTAGATTGGGTCACATCCCCAAAATATCTTATGCATAAGCAAAAAACTCTGAAATCTAAAACACTTCTAGTGCTAAGCATTTTGACCACATCCATAGCTATTTGGGTTATCAGATTAACATACACATACACATACACATACACAGTGTATGTGGGGTTTGGTACTATCTAAGGTTGGAGGCATCCATTGGGGTCTTGGGACCTCTGCCTGATGGGTAATGGGAGACCACTATACTTCCACTCTCAATAGACGCTATGAAGCTTAAAAAATAGGTTTTAGAGTGGTTATAAACAAAGTATACTATAATTTTATATTCTGTTTTTCCCCATTTAACCATTTTCAATATAATTTTAACATGTCTCCATGTGCTTCACAATTCTCATTTTACACAGTGGAAAACTGATATTCCATGATTCACTTAACTTCCCTCTGTTACCCATTTAAGCTGTTTCCAGTTCTTCACTTTGTGATCAGGGCTGCCATAATTATTTTTCTCATTTTGGATGTTTTTAGAGGTAAGTTGAAAGTAATGGTATTATTAGCTCAAAAAAGGTGAACATTTTATATGCTGACAACTGATCTACCAAAACACTGTACCAACTAGAACCCCCAGACATTAGTTAGTGAATCTGTTTCTCTAGAGCAGGGGTCCTCAAACTTTTTAAACAGGGAGCCAGTTCACTGTTCCTCAGACCGTTGGAAGGCTGGACTGCGGGCCCTAGGATGAGTCGGCTGCTAAGCAGGATAGGCAGCAGCGGCAAAAACACCTGGCAGGCGGATAAATGTCCTAGGCGGGCTGTATGTGACTCCCCGGCTGTAGTTTGAGGATGCTTGCTCTAGAGCAGCGGTTCTCAACCTGTGTATCGTGATCCACAGGAACTGTATTAAAAGGCTGCAGTATTGGGAAGGTTGAGAACGATTGCTCTTTCCAGGATAATATAATTTTGCTAATGTAATATAAAAACAAAACAACAGCTGTTTTAATTCACATTTTTGTTTGGAGACAAGAGTCTCACTTTGTCACCCTTGGTAGAGTGCTGTCCATCACAGCTCACAGCAACCTCAAATTCTTGGGCTTAAGCAATTCTCTTGCCTCAGCCTCCCAAGTACCTGGGACTACAGGTGCCTGCCACAACGCCTGGCTATTTTAGTTGTAGTTGTCGTTGTTGTTTGGCAGGCCTGGGCTGGATTCGAACCCACCAGCTCCAGTGTATGTGGCTGGTGCCCTAGCCACTGAGCTACAGGTGCTGAGCCTAATTCACATGTTTTTAATAATCAAGGCTAAACATTTCTTCTCAGATATTAAATTATTAAACTTAAGTTTTCTTCACTGATGATCTGTTTGCGCCCATCCTTTGGCCATTTTTTCACTGGGAATGTTTTTCCAGGCCACTTTAAGGTTTATACACATACACATATATATTTTTTCCTTTTTGGAGACAGTCTTACTCTATTGCCCAGGGTAGAGTGCTGTAGTATCATCATAGCTCACAGCAACCTCAAACTCCTGGGCTCAAGCAGTCCTCCTGTCTCAGTCTCCCATGTAATGGGACTACAGGTGCCTGCCACAAAGCCCAGCCCAGTTTTTGTATTTTTAGTAGACACTGGGTCTCACTGTTGCTCAGGCTGGTCTTGAACTCCTGAGCTGAAGTGATCTACCCATCTTGGACCCCCAAAGTGCTAGTAAGGTTTTTATGTGTTTCAATATTAACTTTTATGTGCTATGTTGTTACATTATGCAAAGGAGCTAAAGATGGCTTCTATTTGTCAGCCCCTATGTCATTTATTTCTTTACAGCAGGACAGAACTGTTAGTTCAAAGCCTACCAGTATCAAACTCAAATTTTTACAAATTCAATGACTTTAAATAGAGCCCAAGGAAGCATATTTTTAGCCATTAAGAGTCTGCCTACTTTGCACACCCCCTAAAACTGTACTTGACATCTGCCAGCCATGGATAAAATAAACCCTGCGAATATAAGAAATCCCAAGCCAGGCCGGGCAAGGTGGCTCAGGCCTCTAATCCTAGTACTCTGGGAGGCCAAGGCAGGTGGATTGCTTGAGCTCAGGAGTTGGAGATCAGCCTGAGCAAGAGTGAGATCCCAACTCTACTAAAAATAGAAAAACTAGCCTTGTGTTGTAGCAGACACCTATAGTCCCGTATTTGGGAACCTGAGGCAGGAGGATCACTTAAGTCCAAGAGTTTAAGGTTGCTGTGAGCTATGATGCCATGGTATTCTGTCTCAAAACAAACAAACAAACAAACAAAACACCAAAGTGGTGCTGCCCTTAGGGTTCCCTGACCCAAGGCCCCGCCACTGTGCTGAGACAGTGCCTAGACACACATGTCCCCTCTCTGGTTCTCTTGGCCCCAGGGAGTTTGCTTGCTCTACCCACCTTTTTGGCAGCATCCCCTCCTCCCAAGGTCACCTGCAGTAGAGAGTTTCCCTATCTTTCAGAATTATAATCCTGTCAAAACTCTCAAAGATACTGCAACCTGGGCGGTCATGCCTTTTCCAAGGGTGGCCCCTAAATCCTCTCACTCACTGCAAGTGGCAATAAAGATGGGATTCCAGTGATCATCAAGGAACTAGTGTGGGGTCTACTTAGTCACAGACAATCAGTTAGCAAATCAATACTGGATGGCCAGTAGTAATTGGGACTCACAATCTGGAGTGTCTCAGGTTCAGCTTAGTATAGTGTCACTCTGTACTGTATTACACTCTTTCTCACAGGTCCCCCTGCACCCCACCAAGCCAGGCCAAGCAGAAATACCAGTATTTGAATGAACCCGCTCCCATCAAAACTGACTGTTGGGCTCAGAGGCACTGGGTCAGCCTCTCTACCTGTCTGCCCCATGAGGCAGTGCTGGATGTCACCAGCCTGTGGGCCAGACTGCAGAACTGGCCACAGCAGGGAGAGCTCCCTGTGGCCAGGCAGTACTCTGAAACAAGAGGATGTCCTCTTATCTGGCAGATAAATAGGGCAAAAAGCCAGAGATGGCAGGCCTAGGCTGGTCTGCTGAGCTCAGCTGGGGAGTGGCCTTTGCAAACAGCTAGCATACTTCTGCTGTGTGACACTCAATCACACTGTTGCAGTGTCGTCATCCAGGCCCTCCCTGGAGGGATATGGAGATCTCAACCTTCGAGCTGAGCAGTGAGCTTTACTCAAAGTGACTAAAGGCAAGAAAGTACCTATCTCTGCCCCTCCCAAGCAAGACAGGGCCCATTCCTAATAAAATGGTCCCAGAGCCCCTTCCTGCTCTATCTGCAATTTTGCAAACTAAGACATTCGGTTTCATTTCTGATGAATGAATATTCTAAGTACTTGTCGTTATGAATAAAAATAACAGCCAGCATGTACTGAGAGCACTTTTTATATACTTCATAAGCAGATACTGCTTTATATACCTGACCTTATTTAATCCTGACAAGAATCCTATAAGATAGCCTGCTATATGGAGGAAAATGAGGCTGAGAACTTTCCCAAGTTCACGTTGAATTCAATAGAGCTAGATTTGGACTCTGAGCTCTTACTCACTACTATCTCCTCAAACAAGCTGCTTACATAAAGCATTTCAAAGAATTACCCCCAAGAAATAAAAGTTGAGGCCAAGATAAACACAGGGGTCTGAGCAACCAAAGAAACACACTGCAGCTTTAGGAGACATTCTCCCAGTCTGGGCATGCGACTGATGAGAGGCAAAGCATGAACTCTGACCCACAGCCTTACCTGGCACCCTACCAGCTGCTGCTCCACCACCTGCTGCATGTCTGCGTTTAATGTTTCCGGCTCAAATGCCACGTTGGCTTGTTGCAGCCACAGCTCCAGCTTGGCCAGCTGGGTCGTGCAGACATGGAGGATTTCTGCAGGCTCGGGCCTACTTTTCTCCTCCGTGGCCTCAAAAGCTCCTTGCTGGTCAGAAAAGTCCAGAGCTACAGCCTTGATAGGAGGTGTGGCACCCTAAAAGAAATCCAAAGATAATCCAGCAGTGAAAAGTCAGGAGTCCAAAGTTTTCAGACATGGGTCTGCAAAGACTTGTGAACCTGCAACATTTCTCCGGTTAAAAGAAACAAAGTAAGGGAAGAAGAAGGAAGGAAGAAAAGAAAAATGCACCTCCACACTCATAGCAACTGTCACGTGACCTGGTGCCACAGGTTTCCAAGCAGCCGATCTACATGTACACAGGTACAGAGTTCCCGGGCGCAGAGCAAGCCAACAGGCCTGCTGTTCATTAAGGGGCGAGTCTCAGGAGACAGGTGAGAGTGTGAGGCAGTGGGTGTGCATGTGTGTGTGTGTGTGTCCCAGACACTTCAGGGAATTGGCTAGCATTTAAAGTTGCATGACACACAGTTAAGCAATGCTTACATTGCTATGTGCTCTATTCAAATTGAAAAATAAGCAAAATAAAACAAGAGTGATATTTACACACCAGTGGGAAGACAATGAAATGTACCGCACACTTAATGTTTAACATCTTCTTATGTTGTTAGATTATAAACTTTTTCAGCTTTTTTTTTCATACATGCATACTATTACTCATCTAAACTTTTCTCTATTAAAAACAGTTTGAGTCAATTAATGATTTTGACTCTGAGGTAATCTGAAAATATTTCTGAAAATGAGGTAATCTGGAAATTTTTCTCCTATTCCTCAGAGAGAACCCCTGAAATGACTTCCATCTTCTAAATACTTAAATATTATTGACTTAAGGACTAGATGTTTATAGTATAAAGAAAGTGTGGTGTATTCTTTCATTGAAATAACTTGGTTGCTTATCTGGGTAGAAATAGAATTCTCCTAGATACCAAATAGAAGTATTCTGGTAATTACATATTAGATATTTTTAACTTGGAGGCAAAAGACGATTCTATACAGGATATATTTGTTCCCACTGTATTACCTGTCTTTAGAATACTGAAAGAGTATATTGCTCTTTCTAGAGAAATTTCTTTGGGGATAAGGATTTGTGTTTTGCTCTACAAAGTTATTGGTTTTAATAAATAACTTATTAATTATAATGATAAAATACAATATTTTCTCTGTAAGGCTTTGTGGGCAACATGTTAGTTAGCATCTACTAAAGCGTACTGTTGGTCAAGTGATGTACATCTAATGGGAATTGCTCACAAATGTATACCTCATCTCAAGGCAAATGCACATTTCCCAGTGTTTGTGGAATTTAGAACTTTTAGAGCAACAGAGTGAAGAAAATTGGTAGGTCACAAAAACATGCAGGATACAAAACACCATTCATTCATTCATTTTCATACCCAGTGATGAGTGTGAAGAAAACTGGTTTGGCAGAAGTGTCTCTGGGTTATACAATTTCTCTTTGACTATCTATTAACTTCACATATATTTGTTCTTTTCTGCCCAAAATGCTATTTCTCCCCTGCCTCCATTAATCCATTTTTATAATTTCCTTAAGAATCACCTCTGTAAGGAAAGCTTCCCATGTTTCATATATTTTTTCTGGACAGTCAAGGCTATCCTTACGGGCACATGTTTCAACAATCTTCATAAATCCTGATTTTTTAAAAAAGGGACCGTTGTGTGATTTTACTTCCTAACATCAATTTCTAGTCATCTAATTGTTTTCTAGTTATCAGATATTGTTCCATCTCAGTGACAAAGATTTTGGGATTCCTTTTTGCCACATGAGATAACATCTGTTGATATTAATTAATTAACCTATAATAAAAGATTTACCAACTATCGTCTTTACTTATTCAGAAATCATATTTGAGCACCTATATGCCACACAGTTTTTAGTGACAGTGTTAAGTTTCTCTGCTTTCTTACTAACTCCCGAAATAATGAGGAAACAAGCCAGCTGGATAACTAAACTGGGCTTTATTTGATGGTTATTTGAACCTGAAAAGAATCCAAGGGAGAACATAAAGAAAAAGAATATTTGCAAACATAGAACTTTGACAGCTAAAAGTGGCCTGAGGAACCCTCCAGAGATTAGTGGAACCAATTCTTTTTAAAGTCAAAAAGACCCAAGCAGGGTAGTGTCCGTGGCTCAAGGAGTAGGGCGCCAGCCTCACAAACCCGGGGTGGTAGTTTCAAGCCCAGCCCCGGCCAAAACTGAAAAAAAAAAAAGAAAAAAAAAAAGACCCAAGCACAGGGCAGTACCTGTGGCTCAAGGAGTAGGGAGCTGGCCCCATATACCAGAGGTAGCAGGTTCAAACCTAGCCCCAGCCAAAAAACGCAAAAAAAAAAAAAAAAGACCCAAGTACACCAAGTTCACTCCGCTCACACACCTCCATTTTCACCATATTGCTTCTAAGAAGCACTCCAGCTATCAATATTTATGAACATTTAACTGAGTAACTGCTCTTTTCTGCAATAGCAGCACCCCTGAAAAAGATCTTCTCTGTATGAGAGACCCAAATTCTGAAAGCAAAAATTATTTAAATGAATATTTTATAATTATATACTTTGGGGGCCAAAAAGTACTACAACTATTTTTTTTTAAGTATTTCTTATTAGGTAAGAATTAGGTTCTCTTCACAGCACAGCTGTCCATTATAACCCCTGACCTTTCTTGGGCTCTGATTATGAGCCAGGCACTGCACTAAGTGGGATACATATACTCTATCAAACCCCACAGACCTATCATTATTCCCCATGTACAGATGAGGCAACTGAGGCTTAGGGAGGCTATTCAGATGGCTTATGGCTACATAGCTCATAAGTAGAACCAGGATAATTCATGATCCCACTATTCTTTGGAGTTTATGAGCCCACATTCTTGACATAATTTTACCAATCTACTAGTATGCAAGGTAGCCTCACAGTGAGTCACACTGCTTGATTTCTACATCAACATATCAGTGACCTAAGCCACAAGATTACAGTTAAAATGCAAGTTAATTTTCTGGGTATAGCTACATTTCATGCCAACACACCAAACCTTTAAATTTACTCTTTCATATTTTGGTCAATTCTACCAACACCTGCATATCTCCCCACTTATTAGAAAATGTGAAATTGTGATGGGTGGCGCCTGTGGCTCAGTGAGTATACCAAGTATACCAAGGGTGGCAGGTTTGAACCCGGCCCCAGCCAAACTACAACAGAAAAATAGCCAGGCATTGTGGCGGGTGCCTGTGGTCCTAGCTGACTGGGAGGTTAAGGCAGGAGAATCGTCTAGGCCCAGGAGCTAGAGGTTGCTGTGAGCTAAGATGCCACAGCACTCTGCTGAGAGCAATAAAGTCAGACTCTGTCTCAAAAAAAAGAAAATGTGAAATTGTCTACCTCAAGTGCAATACCTAACTGCACGTGGGCAAATATAATACAAGACAGGCCACTGGGATGGCATGCTGCCCATTCACTCTGGGAGGTCAAGCCTGGCTGGTTTTCACATCTTTCCCTACTAAATATTTATTGTTTGCTGCAATATAGGTCAAGGATGACTCAGAATTTTACTGAAAATTATGTAATTCTCATTTGGTGAATGCACTTAACCTCTGAAACAAAGGGTTTGTTGAGACTGATACATGCTGATGACACTGGCTGGCTGGTCTCTGCCGAGTTCCCACACTCTCTCCCTTTTCCCCCTTGGGCTTGCATGGGTCAAACTTTCCTCTCTTTGGTCATGTGCCACGCCCATGAGATAGAAATGCACAAAAAGCTGGAATACAGTCCTTAGAGAGAAGGGGATTGGAGGCAATAGAAGAGCTAAGTAGAAGTGAGCTAATCCCTCTTGCAGTAGGAAAAGGTTAACACCTCACTATTTTTTCTGCTCCAAGATTCCACTAATTCCCCTCCCTGCTCTGCAAAAATTCTGAGGTAGGAAGAAAACACAAATGTACAGATACATACATCAGTTTAGGAGAGTGTTATTGGAGCCTGATAGTTAAAATCTCTCTCAGGCTCTAAATCCAGAGGCAGAAATATCTGTGTTTGAATGCTAGATCTGCCACTTACTAGCTAAATGACCTTGGATACTTCACTTCTTTAAGTCTCAATTTCTCCATCTGTAAAGTGGGATAACAGTAGCACTTACCTCATAGAGCTGTTGTGAGGACTAAAATCCCAGTGCCTGGCCCATAATAAACATTGAGTAAATATTAGCTATCCACCTTTCCCCTCCTTCTCCTCCTCACTGTCATCATCACCTATCATCCACAGTCAGAGTAAAAGGCCCGAGGGATCATCCACACCTACAGAAGCAGACACCCCAGGGTGACCAGTGGAATTAAAACACTACTGAAGCTCCATCTCAGTTTTTTTCTTTCTTTTTTTTTTGTAAGATTAGATAAAAGATTGGGAGACAAGACATATACACAGAACTCACTATAAAGGGAGAAAAGAGAAGCTACAATTAAAAGTAGAAAGCACCAAAAGCTGATATCTTTTCAAGAGCTACTTAGATCCATGGAGCTTCAGATCCAGATGAACACCACAGCTAACGTGGGAAATAACACCTCCCTGGAAAGCCATCTTGAAAACCACCAAAGTACAAGATTCCAAATTATGAAGACAGATTGGGCTGGGCACAGTGGCTTATGCCTATAATTCCAGCACTGTGGGAGGCTGAGGTGGGAGTACCACTAGAGGTCAAGGGTTCGAGACCAGCCTGAGCAACAAAGTGAGACTCTCTTTGCTACAAAAAATGAGGACAAATTATCTGGGTGTGGTGGCATGCAATTACATTCTAGCTACTTGAGAGGTTGAGGTCACAGAGTCACTTGAGCTCAGAAGTTTGAGGTTGCAGTGAGCTCTGATGACATCGGTGTACTTCAGCTAGCCAGACAGAGGGAAACTTTGTCTCAAAAAACAAAAAAGAGCAGGCAGATTGGGATATTCTGGATCTGATCTGCTCTCTCCCATTTACTAGTTATATTTTTATTCCTAGAGTTTTGATTTCCTCACTTATAAATATATGGTAGATATTAACTGAACTTATATAATCTAAGGATTAAATAAATATAAATGGCACTTATGTAAAGGCCATTAATTGATCAATAGTAGCTCTTCTCCACTTTTATTGCCCCCATAAATTATACCTAAGAACTAAAGAAGTAGTAATTAATGGAAAGACTACTTCATGCTGACGAATGGTAACTGCATGAAAAGTGTTTCACTGCTCTATACCATCCTTATCTTCTTTTTTTTTTTTTTTTTCTGAGATGGGGTCTTGCTCTGTCACCTCAGCTGGAATCCAAGTGGCATGACTGTTGCTCACTATATCCTCCAACTCCTGGGCTCAAGTGATTCTCCCATCTCAGCCTCCTGTGTTGCTAGGACTACAGGGACACATCACCATATCTGCTAACTTTTTTTATTTTTTGGTAGACAAGGAGTCTTGCTATGTTGCCCAGATTGGTCTTGAACTCCTGGTCTCTAGCAATCCTCATGTGCTGGGATTCCAGCTGTGAGTCACTGCACTGGCCCCTTACTTTCTATTAAAGCATCTGATGACAAGTCTTCCACTTCTACAGCTGGACAACACATAGGAAGTCATTCAAGTTCACAAGGAGCACTTGGCTTGATATACAGATGTTAACAGGACACAGAAAGCTGGCCATTTCTGGGTGCTAGTTTAGGTATCTGAGCAGTTGGTTGGATACTGATTGAGACTTACCCCTTCTGTTTGGCTGGGCAGGAAAAATTCTGGGCCTTCCCCAGTGTTTAGTGAGGCCGGTACAAGGATTTGTGCCATGGAACTATCACAGGTGCTTATTTTCTCATCTGCCTCCTGTAAAGAAAAGAATCAGAGTTCCAGAAAATGTACTGCCCAGTGCCACACAAGACATTGTCCCTGTGTCTGCTCATCTAATGAATCACCTGCTGCAACCATGCCCAGAGAAGGCAGGCACATTTGCTTTCTTTTTCTCTGTCATCACAAGAACATCAAAGTCAGGTAAATTTAGAAAATCATTGTTCATTAGGGAAAAAAAATCACCTTTATAAGGTTTGTCTTTATCTGAGAAACTTAAATTCTGCAAAACTCTCTTCTTGATGAGAAGAATCTAGAGAATTGGATACTTAAATAGATTATAATGTAGTTTTGAATGAGATTATATGATAAAGGTCACATTTCAAAAAATTGCGGAAAGAGGAAAAGATATATTTATTAAATTTGGGAACTATCAAGGCATTTCATGAAAAATATAACATGTCTCATTCCTAATAATGAATTCTCATTATCTAACATTGAAATGTTAAAAGTTATACTGTAAAAATTCTAACAGAGGGGAGGAACTTTTACATAAAGCATGACAATAGAGAAAAACAATGTTAGTATTGACAACTTAAAAAATAAAATAATATGCACTACAAAAGATACCATACACTGGGTTAAAGAGATGACAAACTGGGATAATGACTTACAAAGTATTAATATCCTTAATATATTAATTGTTCTTATAAGTCAGTAAAGAAAATTATCAACCCCTATGTAGAAAAACAGTCAGATGGCATGAACAAGCAATTCATTAGAGATAAGTCACAAGCAGCGTGCAGTGGTTTGTGTCTGTAATCTTAGCTGGGAGGCAGGTGAATTGCCTGAGCTCAAGAGTTCGAGACCAACCTAAGCAAGAGTGAGACCCCATCTCTAAAAATAGCCAGGTGTTGTGGTGGGAACCTGTAGTCCTAGCTACTTTGGAGGCTAAGAAGAGGATAGAGTGAGCCCAAGAGTTTGAGGTTGCTGTGAGCTGTGACACCACAGCACTCTACTGGGAGCAACAAAATGAGACTCTGTCTCAAAGAAAGAAAAAGGTAAGTCACAAAAGCCCTTACACATCTAAAGAGATTTTCAGAATTCTTAAAATATAAATTCAGTTTAAACTACTGGCTCAGTTTGGCTAAGACTGACAATATCAAAGATTAGTGTACACCAAGCAACAGGCACTTCAATGCATCTAGGAAGAATAATCTTGCCATATATTTCTAGAAGGCAGTTTGACAATGTCTGAGTAGATATACACTTTGACCCAGCACTCCTACTTCTAAGGTTAGGCAAGGTTAAACAATGGGAAAAAATGAAATATACGAAGGTCTGACAATTAAAGCCGAGAACTTGTCCCAGAAAAAGTGCTACATACCTCACTGATGAATGTCATTACGGTCACCTTCAAAGTACTCCCCTTGGGAAGCTATGCAATGATGCCAGTGCCTAATCCAACTTTAAAGGCAATTTTGAAACTCTTTTTCTGGACTGGTCATCAAAGCTATCATTATATTATTACCCCTGATGTCCTGAAACTATTCTTTCAATATTTCCTTTATCTTTGGGGAAAAAAAGTCACTGGGGGCCAGATCAGATGAGTAGGGAAGGTATTCCAATACAGTTATTTGTTTACTAACTAAAAACTCCCTCACAGACAGTGCTGTGTGAGCTGGTACATTGTCATGATGCAAGACCCATGAGTTATTGGGAAAAAGTTCAAGTCTTTTTCAGATGGCCTTTTCAGCATTTCCAAATACTAAACTTGGTTAACTATATGTCCAGTTGATACAAATTCATAATGAACCATCCCTCTGATATCAAAAAATTTAGCAACATCATTTTGACTCTTGATTTTGAGTGACAGAAGTTTTTGGTCATGGAGAATTGGCTGACTTCCACTGTGCACTTTGATGCTGTGTTTCAGGTTTGTGTTGGAATATCCATGTTTCATCACTGTGGCCCGAAATATTGTCTTACCTCTCCAGAGGTCTTGGCAAACTTCAACTCTCCTTTGCTTTTGCTCATCAGGGAGCTCCTTCAGGACCATTTTTGCACACACCTTTTTCATGCCAAGATTTTCCTAACTGTTTTTCTATCAATGTTTACTTGGTCTGCTATATTCTCACAGTCAGCCAATGATTTTGATGCAGGAGTCAAGAAATTTTTGCAATGTTTTTATCAGTTCTGCTCCTTGCTAGACACCCTGACCTCTCTTTATCAGTGATACTTTCTCTCCCTTCAAGAAAATGTTTACTCAATTGGCACACTCCTATTTTCTTCATGGCATTATCCCCGCAAACTTGAACATGCCCCTGATTTTGCTTCCACTCTTGCCAAATTTAACAAAAAGTGTAATGCTTGTTTGTTGTTCTAATTCAAAATCTAATATTCTCACAGCACCACACAAACACTCTGCTGGGAGTTTGCCATAGACCTCAACCTGGGTTGGGAGTCCACAGGGAAGACAATGCTGGGGGGAAAAATCTCAAAAATTATCAGTTCTTATTTCTCTGAAATTCATGTAAGGCCTAGAGAGATGTATACTGATTCACATGCCACTGCAGCACACTGAATCAGTGCAGTGACTTTCTGACTTCTCAGAAACCTTTTATTGATCTCTAACACCAAATGTATATGCGAAATGCAAAGACATCAAAAGATACGGTTAAAAGAATCCCAAGTACCCAGGAAGACTGGACAGAAGGAAAGGCTGTTTTAACAGAACATAGGGTAGGAGGTTGTTAACAAACTACCTATAATGTATTTGGAAAGGGGAAGGGGAAACCAGTTTTATCCCTATAGGGTGAGCAAGCCAAGCTTCTTAATCTAAACTGCTGATCAGGTGTTCAAAGAATTTAGCCCCTCTAAAGGGCTTAGCCCCACTCACCTCCTTGCTGACTCTCAGTGCCTGTAGTAGGGATGGTCTTAAAGACTTTGCCCTGTTTGGAGTGCCTCTGGGCTTCTTTTATCGTTGGTGGCCCTGATGAGCCCCCAGGAATTGAGGGGAGACGCTCCACTGAGAGACCAGCCTATCTATCTGCCATACCACTCAGAAGACACAGCCACACATCAACATGAATGACTGTCAGATGCTGATATACCAAGGTCGTAAAACTTTACTGAGTTGTTTGTACAGTGCTACTAATGTAAGTAAGCACATGGTGGGAAGTTTGTGAACTTAATTGTCAGACCTCATACAAGTAATTAAGACAGTGTGGTTGGAAGCATATGGATATTGGACCCAACCAATCTTGCTCCTCTACTTAGAAATTTCACGATCTTGGACAAGTTAATGTGAACTCTTTGAACCTCATTTACTTAACCTTTAAAGTGGTTGTGCTTATGATTATTAAATAAGATAATGTATATAAAAAGCATTTAGCATTTCCTAAAAAAAAAAAAAAGCATTTAGCATTTCCTAACAAAATGTTAGTATCTTTTCCGCTCCTTCTAAAAACAATAACTGCTATCAGAAAGATATGAACTTAAAATTAAAGATAAAACTTAAATAAAACCAGAAAGGTAGGAGGGGTTCATGAAGAGTGGAATGCTGGCCTAAGTTTGTATCTATTCAATAGATAATCAGAATCCATGAAGGACATTAAGCTGAGGCTTAGCATGATTTACTGTAGGAAAAATCATCAGTTAGTATTTCATAAGATGTATTAGGAAAAAAAAATGTAGGTTATAACACCAATTAGAGGGCTAGTCCAAAATCCAGGGAAGTAGTAA